AATATAGTTCTTGTCTCACTCTATAATAATAGTCTTAAGTGCTTTGTCAAAAAACGAGAGAACATGTTGTAAAAGTCATCGCGGTACCTATCAATTCGCACTGAGAATGGCGCCAAAACCGATAATTTTGCAGGAAGAGTAATAGTCATATTTCTCGGCTTCTGCATCATCTGTGAAAAAGTCAGAAAAGACATTTTCTTACGTAACTCAATGTGTTCTTTAAAACTAGACTGGCTTTAAATGAAGCGGATCAACTTGCTGTAATGATGGAACATTTCAGATGGATTCACTCTTTACAGAAATTTTGATAGGAGATTTCTGACACCCGTAGTACTCCTCAGGATTCTGGAAATACTTTTTTCACTTAAACTTTTGAAACTATTTGAACTAAATGCACTTTCTTACGCTGACGAAGTATGCGACGAACAATACAAGCATCAAGCTATGATGTCTCCTTTTGATCAAAAATTACAAGAACCTAGTAGAAATCTATTTTAGATAAAATAAACACTCCAGAGTTCAAAATATACTTACTCTATTTGAGTTGCTTTATATGTTGAACAGAAATATGAGATGACTGTTCTAAAACGAGTTATGCGAGTTATGACTGGTGTGAGCGTTTAGTGTATGATCGCTATGTCTATATTTCCCTGGCAATTTTGTCACATTCCTCTGTTAATAAATCTAGAAGTATGATGAATTCAACAAAGAAGTTGTAGATCTTCTTATAAGATTCACAGGAAAACTTATGGAGCACACATCTTAGATTCGAGGGTAATATAAAACGGTTTACTCTCAGTCCGTTCCAAATTGCTCACTCTGACACTTACTCGCCCCTTTGATGTTGTTTGATCTTACAAAGCCAATTTGGGACGAACTGAGAGGACATTATATAAAACAGACACAAATTCTTGCAATAAAAATCACTGGTTTCTATTTCCCGTTTTGATACCCGCTCAAAAAACGGCTGACATCTGTTCGGTAGGAGAAGATGTATTTTTGACTGGAAGTTTAAACAAAAAGTAGTTAAATATGTTTCCCTTATTTAATATGTATACTACCGTCAAAAATAAAAGTTTTAATACCATAGAATTTGGGTTGGTTTGGAGAAGTTAAGATACATAACCACTAATGTTGAAATAATGTCGAACTTGATTATGTCTATATCTTTTCGAAGTATGCTAAACACCAAAATAAAAATCTTTTTCTAAAGTCTACGAAGAGATTTTTCTCTCTCATCCGTACTGATGTTGTTGAAAGATGAAACACAATGATCATTTATTTCAAAACTTAGAAAAAAATCTATTAATACTAAAAGGTTTCCTTCAAAGACATATATAGTTGGCATTTTTTATCCTAGAACAATCCACTTTTCTTCCAAATAATGTACAACTTTAAGAGTAAACATTTTATTTATCGTATATGAAGGTCTGGATTTGTTTACTAATTAAATATTATGATATAGTGAGAAAATACACACCTTTTTTTCTTTCATATAACCCATCCCAACAGCACCATATTTCTAATAATTATGAATTTTTTTTATTTTGTATTTGAAAAGTCTGATATCTTTGAAGTATTTATTGATTGTGTGTAGAAGTAGAGATACCGAGGTTATAAATGTTACTGTCGTCACAACTGACGTTTCAGGTAATAGCAAACAGTAATAAATAATTGAGCAATGAATGACACATGTTTTCCAATAAAAAATTATTGAATTTTGATGCTTGATTTACTGCATTGAATTAATATTTTCAAATTGAAAAATACTTTAACGCGTCCAACAGTCTATTTGTTAATAACAGCATCATCAATAACTATTGAATTGTGAGTACAATTCAACAGACGACTATTTGCACTCAAACTGTCGCTTAATCTTCTGATGATTTTTATTATTTTCATGTTGAGTTGGTAATCAAGCAGAAGAGGAAACACGAATATTTTTTTTGTGTATCGTGAATCGTATCAAAGCTTATTTTTTCTCTTCTAGTATTAGTTGACTGAATAAATATTCATATTCCAAATGAACTATTATTATCTAATTCAATTTTTTCTTCCATTAATTGTTTTAACATTAACAACGAAAAGTTTACAGTGGAAAGATTACCCTCTTGAACACGGTAAGTTAAAATCATTTCATATCTTTATATCTAGATGATCATATCAGAGAAATATTTGATGTTTGAAAGTCACCTTAGAAAAAATAATAGCCGTCAAAAGTCATCTTTCTGAATATGAACTACTTCTAGTTTATAACGAAAGTTCATATTAACTTGGATGTCTAACAGATCCAGAGCTGGACAAATCAAGTCAAAAATGCCTCAAGTTCAAGTCAAGTCAGAGTTGACTTGATCCAAAATTCTTTAGGGGTATGACCTGACTGGACTTGAGAAAGTTTTTTCAAGTCAAGTAATTTCTAGTAGGAGATTTTCGTTTAAATTAGACTTTTTCTACCATGAAAGAGAGTTCTGAGACTATAAAAACTCTCTCATCCAAAAGGTGCTAGCAAATTTTATGTTCTACCTAATTTTAACCGGACTTGACTTGGGAGAAAAAATTTTCCGATGTCGACTTGACTTGAGAGTTTTTTAGTGACTTGACTTGTGACTTGCAAAACTTCTGACTTGTCCAGCTCTGAACAGATCCCTCACGTTAATTTTTCGATGCAAAATGTGTCTTTATTGATAGTCATTGTAAAATAATAAAAATGGCAAAAGAAAAAAGTTCTCATTCAAAAATTACTTTCTACTTTTACTTTTACAGTTTGTCATAAAAACACTAATAAGCTTTTTTCACGCAGAATTTCAAGATCAGTCTTTCTAAAGAATCGCTGCAAACCAACAATTAGTCAAAAATTATGCGACAATAATGGGACTATGACATTTTTAGTGTTTCACCATAAGAATCGTTTAAGCAACATTACCGCACGTAACAGAAGAAACTGTACCCTATGTATTTTCGATTTTTCTCGAGTTCCTCAAACTCCCTGAGGCTGTTTTTTTTATACAAATGATAGCCCAATCCATTCTCTACAAAGTGGTACATGAGATATTGTAAAACTATTTTTAGATATAATTCTTTAAAATGAAAGGCAAAGACCGCCAAAAGCTAGTAAAATTTAAATATGAAAAAGATGCTGATATTTCATAAACTGAACAGTGCCGTTTCACTTCGAACAGTTAATGTGTAGATTAAAATAATCGAGGATACTAGTGATATCTGTTTGTCAAAACCTGGTTGCCAACGCACTGTTCGGATAAAAGCGAACATTTAGAAAGAAACAGCGTTTTTGCAAAAAAGAAGACGTGTCAACAAGAAAGTTAGAAAAAGAATTGAACATGTCACATATGAGTGCCCATGAGCGGTGGCACTGTTTCAGTTCAGTTCTTTTGAAGGAGATCTGGTACCAGTTCTTAGGTCTTTTTTAGGATGTTCTATTGTTTTATGAAAACATTATTTTTATTCAAGAAGCAAAGTTCAATAACAAGCGAAAATAGAAAGATATAACGCTCAAATTTACCAGTTCTTTTCAAGAGTTCAAAATAAAATAAAACCGATGTAGCTAGTTATATTGACTTGGTTTAGTCAACTAAACACATCATCTATCTCTGACGCACTACACAAACTTAATGTATCTCAAGTATGTTCACCGATCTTAGTTCAATTTTAATTTTTTGAAAAGAACTGGTACCAGTTCTCCTTCAAAAGAACTGAATTGGAACTGTGCCACCACTCATGGGCACTCATATGTGGCATGTTCAATTCTTTTTCTAACTTTCTTGTTGATACGTCCTCTTTCTTTCAAAAGCGCTGTTTCTTTCTAAATGTTTGCTGTTATCCGAACAGTGCGTTGGCAACCAGGTTTCGGCAAACAGATATCACCAGTATCCTCGATTATTTTAATCTACACATTAACTGTTCGAAGTGAAATGGCATTGTTCAATTCACGAAATATTTTTGTCGGTGTACTACATTTTATATACTATTTTGTAGAGAATTGATCGACTGTCTTTTGTATTAAAAAAACAGCCTCAAGGAGTTTGAAGGAACTCGAGAAAAATCGAAAATACATACAGTGCAGTTTCTTCTATTATACTCAGTAAACCATTGTTTTCGAAACACAAGCGTCTCGAAATAAAGCGAAAGTAGTCGATTCTTAGAGATGATCACTCTAAATAATAGGCATTGCCTGATCTATTTTAACATTTTCTTTAAATAGTAAAGCTATCATATTTTGTTTTACTATTAAACTTAAAGCTATTATCTACAAACATCATACGATAGATCGTTTGAATTTTTCTCTTCTTTCTTCTAGTACTCCGGGGAATTAATCGTTATCAGTCAACGAAAAATGCTCAACAACCTGATTTAAGTCGTTCAAAGCGAAAATTTGTTACTACAAGCTTCATACAATCGAAACCTGACGAAGAAGTTTCTTTTAAAACTAAATATAGTGCAGAACCAACGATCTTCGCTAGTAAAGATCTTGCTTTACAACCCGTTCATCTCGAAAGAAGGACTGATCCTAATCATTTAAAACTAAAAGCATTTCTAGATTATTTGAAAAATTGGAAACCACAAAATCATTATCATTTGTCTAAAACACGATTTGGCCGACATAAAAGATAAAAGAAAGGCATACTCGACTTAGTACGTACCCTGTTATGTATCTTATGTATTGTCTTCAAAATTCGTGTCAGATTAGACGATTATTTTCTAAAGTGGATCCAAACACTGACGACGGAATAGTGGTGATACAATTTCATTTTAGGCTCTTTATTTCTTTGTCGTATGTTTTTTATGTATTTTGTAGTCGTAAATCAAAATTTAAAAAGTGTGAGAAGTTAGAAAAAAAACTCTAAAACTATAGAAATAAAGTCCATAAAGCGCCGAACGTCAATTTACTGGAATATGCAACTAAAACCAAACAAATGGGAATGTTTAAATTCTATTAATTACAGAAAAAGCTTCCAACCAGCACAGTTTTAATAAATTTTTCATCATGTTGCAAACATTGGCATATCAATGGTGATTTTACCTTGAAAATTTCTTCTAACTTGTAAATAGGTACCCGGTGGCGATGGTGCATCCATGATCGGATGTTCCTGTGGTATGTTTCCATACACGGCAAAAAAATTCGTATCAATATGATAACGAATTCGTCCATTTTCAAATGATTCAATTGTGACACCATCTGAAAACGATGATATAGGCGTTTGAGGAGTAATGATCCAATTAGATGGTGCTTGAAGATCAGGCATGGGTAATTTATCTAATGCAACAAATTGAAATTGTTTTCTTAATGTATCAACAGAATCTGTTCGAGATATTTTCTCTGCGAAACCAATATTAAAATACATGTTATCAGCCGAATGAATAAAGAGAGAGTCTGGTGCTGTTCCGCATTGTGTAAAATTTTGAGTTTGTCCAATTACGGAATAATAACCGACAAGGCCATGATTTGGTGAAGTTTCACGAATATTTAGTTCAAGTACATTTTTATGTTCATCAAGCCACTTATTAATTTTTTGTTTTAATTCTGATACTTCAGGTGTATCACTTTCATCAGCCATTTTTAAACTAAAAAAACAAAAAACAATGACATAAAAACTTCTCATTTTGGAAATTTTTGTTTTTTACGTTAATAAAATATAGAACAAAACAGAGAGGCGTGTATTCGTTAAGTTAAACTGTAAAATGTCACCATCTGTTGTAACAAAATCAGAACACATTGTTTCTGTTCTTTTGTTTTTATTCTTAAATAGAATGAAAACAATAATTTGTGGACATAGTCTAAACTTTCAAAATAATTGAATCGATTCTTTCGCCTTTTTTCTCTCTGTCTCTCTCTTTTTCAATAATCTCAACCAGAGACTTGACAATATAGCTGAACTGTTTTGTTACATCTAGTACTCCTATTTTATGATTAGCTACCGCTATACCGTCTTCCATTCTAAACTCAGCATATAAATTATTAGATAAAAAACAGGTAAAAGAAATTCTAATCTCTATTAGATGGCTAACTTAGTAAACGATTTCTATGATAATATTTGTAATTCTCAGATTCAAAAAAGTCTTGCAATCGTTCTCACTTAAGTTTTCACTTCAACTTTTAATTGAAAAATTGTTTAAATTTTATAACTTCTTTATTTAAAGTCTATAATCCATCCAATCCACCATAGTTAGACTGAACATAATTTTTCAGGGATTGTGTTCACAAAATTGCTGTAAAATAATCTAAGTTGTCTAAAATACGAATGGTCGTTACTGCATGACCTCTACCTGACTTAACTTTTTTTAAGAAACGCACTTAAGACAAAACTTAAGTTTAACTTAAGTGCGCATTAAATTTTGGCTTAACTTTCGACTTAAGCTGAAAACTTAAGTTTTTTTTAGAAACACACGCTAATCTCATGCAAATAAAGAAGGAGAACTATTGCGTTGATATTTTAATATATACTGTTGTCAGAACTCTCATGTTTATTGATTAACTTGCCACGTTTAAAATGAAAAGAAAACAGAATCGAAAGCTCGATTGTTGTCGTTCACGGGGTCGTATCACGAAAAAACTTAACCCACTGACTTAAGTCTAAGTTTAAGATCCGGAGACTTAAACCGTATTACGAGAAGACTTAAATTAGTGATTTGTTTACTTTTTGAAAGTCGTTGATAACAGTGACAAACTTGGGACAAAAACCCGCAAAATAACGAAATTTTTAGTCTCTAAATCTTATAAAGCCGTTTTCGTCGAATCGTATCGTTAAATGCCTGAGCAATTCCAAAAATGCGTCAATTGCTTAAGTCTGACTTAAGTTTTCGGTCTTAACTGTAAGACTACATTTCCCATGACTTAACTCATCCTTTGACTGAAGTTTTTTTGTAATACGGTAAAATTTTCAAAGTCTAAAGACTCAAGTTAGTGACGGAGACTCAAGTCCAAATTTTGACTTTTTTTGAAGTTTGTTTCCCTTGACTTTAGTCTAGGCAAGGGTCTTACAAAATAGTTGTCTGTGTAAGTGTGTGTGCGCAAAATACGGAAACATTGCTGTCAGATATTCTGTGGATAAGCGATTCAGAAGTGACGAAAGTAGAAAACTATTTTTTACATAAGAGAGAAAATATTCAAAGAGATCATCTGAAATATCTATTGATGCAGAGAGGTAAACAGCTAAGCAAACGTTTTCTGTAGGCCAGGGGTAGGTGTCGCCAGATGACAGGCAATTATGACAATACAAAAAAAGTGGTATAAGTGTAATAAAATTGACAGTGTATAGATAATCTATTATAACAAATCGATTAGAAATACTTCCAACCTCCTTGGGATCTGCAGAGGGTGTGCAGAAACCTTTTAGCTTTATATTACATTAGATGGTTTTCCGGGGGAATCAGAGAAGTTTATAGCATTTCTCATCTATCACTATACTGGTTGCGAACGCCGACAGAAGGGAAGCGTGAGGATTGTTTTGAATTCAGAAATAGTTTTAGATCTCTTGAGATTTTTGCTCTTTATATTCATATTAGATTCCGAACCTTACACATGAAAACAGAAAAAGTTCAGAAGATGTCTTAGGCAGGTCTCCACCGAGCGCCAATCGAAGGAAGATGTGAGCATTGTTTAGAATTCAGAAATATGTTTAGACCTCTACAGATTTTTGATTTATATATTTATATCAGATTACGAACCTTATACATAAAAAAAGAAAAGAAATCCAGAAGATGCGTTAGTTAGGACCCCAGCAAGCGCCGACCGAAGGGAGGAGTGAGCATTGTGTTCGATTTATAAGTCAACAAAGGGCGTTCGCTTGCGCAGATCCAACTTAATAAAGTCAAGGAACCGAACGAGCGCAGACCAGCGTTACCTTGTTGTGATACGACGCCCAGTTTTGCAAGTATTTGACTGACAACAACAGACTTCAGATCATATCATGTTCATGTGGAAAAAAGAACACTACGTATTATTTAATCACAAGGACGATGACTCATTATTTACCTATAGACTGACCTTGATTTCTACTCTACAGATAGTTATCCATAATCTTTCTAAGTTATATCCTCTCCCGTGATATAGCATGAAACTTCATTGGAAAAGTTTTTGCACGAATGAGAACGGTGAATAAAGAATGAACATTACAGAACGAACGAAAACGTGTTGTTTTTTGGCTTTTTTTTCTTCATGTTAGCAAATAATATATGAGATATTTTTAGCGTAACTAACTTTTCTCCAATGTTGTCTTAATTCTTGTTAGACATGTTGTTATGACTTTTTCTGCTAACGAAAATATATTTATTAATATTTATTTATTAATTCTAGCTTCACAGTGAAACTAACCTATATTTAGAAATTTAGGAATCATTTTATTAATATTCTTAAATCTTAACTAAACACTTAAGTCTTGACTTAATCTTAATTCTTGATGTTTCATCAAAAATTTAAAGTATCAGCTTAAATATTCCTTTTGACTTTAGTTTGTCTTAATTCCATGGAACATGATCCGATGAATTAAGTCAATATTTAAGCTTATGAATTAAAAAAATTGTTTAAACGACTCTCGGGAATAAGACAAAGAAAAATACAAAAAATGATTCATCCATTTCTTTTTTTGTACAACAGATGTGCAGATAAATTTTTTCTTTTTAATAGGTAACCATCTAAAATGTTATCTTTTCTATTTTATTCCTGTCCTAAAAAATGATAAAAAACGAACTAACACAATCCATAGAAGTACACGAGTAAATAATGTTTAATCCAAACTGTAGTAAGATATTTTCTTATACTATCCATTTTACATTGTAGAAAACAGTGAGAAATCTATTCTTGAAAAAATTTTCATTAAAAGTTTAAAGAATATATTTTCGTATCCACATCAGGAATATAAAATTGTTTATTTAAACGGCAGCAACATGAGATGACAATTATCGTTTTTCGTTGTAAAAAATGAGAATATGCTATGTTTTTTTTTTCTTCTATTCTCGTTTTAGATTCAATGGCTACTCGTCTCGAAGCACTCTGTGATGAATTATTTATTGAACTTTATGATTATTTTGATATTGTTGATTTGTATTATTCATTTTCTAATTTGAATTATCGTCTAAATTCGATACTTCAAGATCGTCGTTATTTATGTTTACATTCGTCTTTGTCTCTTGTACCACGTCAACAGTTTTACTATTATTTTTATTTTGTTTTAACGCAATGTTATTCAAGTTTGAAACAGTTAACATTAGCAGAGACAGATGATCAGGGTGATTCACTTCGACGTTGTCGAGTATTTTTAAGCGTTTGTAATTTAGAATATTTTACTCAACTTCGATCATTAACATTAACCCGCATTAATTTATCCGAATTAAAATTAATTCTAACAAAATTAATTACCTTAAAACAATTAACATGTTTACATTTACAAACCGGTGAAATTAAGCTAGGTAAATTTTTAACAAGTAAATGTTACTTACAGAAAAATGATGTTTTTTTCAACATTCCATATCCTCACTTTAATAAGAAAAATAAAAAAATGTTTATCTGTCTCTGATGATAGCGTTTTTTTAATTCCATTATGTCATTTATTTGTTTTAGAATCAAATCGAAATGATGTTTGTCGTCTAATTTTATGTGATTTAACTCAACTGAAATTGTGTACATTAAATTTTCACACATTTATCGGCTTTTCTGAGTTGCCAACATGTTCAAATATTGAAAAATTAACGATAGAACGATGTTTTGTAAATGATTTTTATTCATTAATGATGCATACACCAAAATTGCAATGTTTAAATATAACTTTATTCAAAGATAAATTAGTACCGGTGAATGATATTTCTAATCTTAGTTTTTCATCGAATTTAGTCTATTTAAAATTATATCTTTACTATGTTCCATTTGATAATATTCATCAATTACGATCAGAATCTATGCCAAATTTAAAAACGTTTATTTTGAAAGGATCAGTAAGTAACAGATGTTTTCTCAACTAAAATATAAAGAGTGTCTGCTAAGTTTTGGTTCCCATATTAGAAAATAACATATGAATGGCATAGTTTGATCTAGAAATTCTTTAAATAACTTCATCATATAGAGCAGACATTTCTGAACAAAATGAGATTCCGAGCTTTTCTCATCAAACAGCATTCAATTTACGAAAGGTCCCATACCACCAAAATCAGAAAAATTAACGGGAAAACAAGAAAGATATGTTCTTAGAGCCTTTCGTAAATTGAATGCTGCTGTTTCATGAGACTCAGAGACCTCTCATTTTGTTCACAAATGTCTACTCTATATGATGAAGTTATTTAAAGAATTTCTAGGTCAAACTATGCCATTCATATGTTATTTTCTAATATGGGAACCAAAACTTAGTAGACACCCTTTATATAATGTTCTAAAATATTGCACACACACTTAACCCTTTCAGGACCGGGTTAATTTTTATATAAAAAGTGCTGTTCAAAAGTTGAAGACCTTTTTTATTTTGCAATATCTCGGCTTCCCTGACAGATAGAGACTTCATCCTTTTGTCAAAAGAAA